TTTAGTATTGGAATTTATTAAATCAGCAATATTCATGTTTTCTTGGGAGAACAAAAAGTGTGGTACACTTCTCCCTTACTGCTTTGTTACAGTGGGAAGTACCTTGTTGTGGACGTCAAAGCTCTGTGGGACTTAAGCATTGTAAAACTTGAGTGGAAGTGAACTTAGCTTATCTCAGTTATGTTAAAGAAGCCTGGAAGAGAAGTGGGGTGAAAAGGATGTTGAAAAATGGTGGTAACAGAGCATGGATGGATTTTTGAATCCTAAACAGTTCTGTCTTGTTAGCCATATGACATGTCACCTCACAGTTTAAAGGACAAACTGAGTTTAATTGAATACTTTAATTCGTCTAGTGGGTGTGTATGTATGTGCATGCGAGGGAAGAGGCCAGTGCCAAGAACAGTAACAAAATATTCCTCTGGGTTTAGTCATTATGCTAGGGCTGTGCATTGTGGAGGTATAGGAAAATATTTTTCTGCTTCCAAATTAAGCATTTGCTTCTGATGACAGGATGTTTTGCTCAGCACATTTGTGCTGAGGAGGTGTTCTCAGGATCACATTGGCTAGAGCTTTGTCTGTTGTACTGGTTTGGGCTGGGATAGAGTTGAATTTCTTCACAGTAGCTTGTATGGGGGAGAGTTTTGGATTTGTACTGACAACAGTCTTTTCATAACTCATGGATGTCATAGTTACTGCTGAGCAGTGCTTACACAGGGCCTTTTCTGCTCCTTCACATTGTCCTGACAGTGAGCAGGATGGGGGTGCAGAAGAAATTTGGAGGGAATATAGCTGGGACAGCTGACCTCACCTGACCACAGAGATATTCCATACCATATGGTGTCATGCTTGGCAGTAAAAATCAGCGGAAGATTGAAGGGGATGGGCTGCTGCTCAGGGTCTGCCTGGGCATTGGTCAGTTAGTGGTGAAAGTCATCTTGTTTTGTAAGGAAGGAAGAAGCTTCTAACAGCAGGAGAGGGAATCAGAAGCAGCAGCTCTTTCTGCAGCAGTCACAAGAACAGGAGGAGGAAGGGACTGAAATAATAAATAGGAAAGAGACCACCTGATCCCTATACCTAAATGATCTGTGAGACAGCAAAAACATTTCAGCTGTCAACCAGGTGAGCAAATTCTCAGCTGATTGCTCCAATGCTGGGAAATTGGGGCCGATAGTCAGGAATTGGAAGGTAAGGAAGCCCAGCAGCTGAGATCCCTTGCTTGGAATAAGGCCATTGACAACAGGATTGTGAAAGGATCAGGAGTCCTCAGTCTTTGGAGCTGAAAGACAGATGTTTCTTCAAGGAAGATCTTTCAAATTCCTGACGCAAATGGACCACTATGGTTGGGGAGGTATCCTGTATCTGAGAGAATTAGCTGTGGTGGTGAAGCCAAGAAATCCAGAAAAGAACTACTCACAGACTTGTATCCTTGAGTAGCAGGTGTTTGTTTATTCAGCGCTGGGTACAGGGGGATTCACTCCACCAACTTGTGCAACTAGGAGTAAAAACTTCATGGTTTAGATACACTAGATGCTTATACATATTCATTATTTCCAGGAATGAGTGTATATTATTATAGTTAGTTCCTGGAAGTCAGTATCATACTCTCCTCCTTCATCTCCTCCCACTTGGTGCTGGTCCAACAGCTTCCAGTGGTTGTCTGGAGGTCTTCAGGAGGAAAGCTGGTAGTCTTCATCGGGTTGAACTTTTTACCTTTGGCTTTAACACATGCTCTATAGTCCTGTTTTCCTTTGCTAGTCCTCAGAACTGATAGTATTCAGTTTGTCTTCCTCTTATCTTCTTGTCCACCCAGTTTGTCTATCACGACCAGCAGGTCCTTTTATCTTCTGGTTCTACTTGAATTTTATCATTTACCTCCGTTCACAGCTTAAGCAATCCTACAAGTATGTTAACTTAGGTTTGCTAACATAAGATCTTCTAAAGAACATCTTGATAAAGTGCTTTGCTATTTTACTTTCTTTGTATCAGTGGAGGTGATCTGTATCAACCGGGATGACAACCATATATCCAAAGACTGGTAAAAAAAATCATGGCATATAAAAAGCTGGTTCATGTGTTATATATAAAGATGTTTTTTTGAGCTCAAGTAGTTGAAAAACTTACGGCAAAGAGGATATTTTTTTCAGTCTTCTGCAAAATGTCTAGTAAAATCTTGTGCAGGTAGTGATACTGTATGTACTGTTTTATTGTCTGTGCTACACAGAAGGGGACTTGGACTGACAACTGTGATTCTTCTTGTGCTGATTAATGTTATTTTTTAAAAGAATATCATGTTAAGAACATTTGCTTTGCTTACATATACTCTGAATTTTTATTTTTACATCTAGGGAACATGAATGGTTTAAGCAGGACCTTCCGAAATACTTGTTTCCTGAAGACCCATCATATAGCTCTACCATGATTGATGATGAAGCCTTAAAAGAAGTGTGTGAGAAGTTCGAATGCACTGAAGAGGAAGTGCTAAGTTGTCTATACAGCCGAAATCATCAGGACCCTTTAGCTGTTGCTTATCACCTCATTATAGATAACAGAAGAATAATGAACGAGGCCAAAGACTTCTACTTGGCTACAAGTCCACCAGATTCTTTTCTTGATGATCACCATCTGTCTCGCCCTCACCCTGAAAGAGTACCATTTTTGGTAGCGGAAGCACCACGTCCTCGCCATACTCTTGATGAGCTGAATCCACAGAAGTCGAAACACCAAGGTGTAAGAAGGGCTAAATGGCATCTGGGAATACGGAGTCAGAGTCGACCAAATGATATCATGGCTGAAGTTTGTCGAGCAATTAAACAGCTGGATTATGAGTGGAAGGTAACAAAGGATCTTTACATCAAACAACAATGCATCTTCCTTTGAGCTGTGTAGCCCAGAGGTCTGAAAGTATGTTTTCCAGTGCTGGAATATAATCTCATGTGCATGTGCTATCTGCATTTGCTGTGCCAGAAGGGTTTTGGGGGAGGCCATTCATGTTAATGGGTAAAAAAAAGTCGAGATAACATGTCTGAGTATTCTACTGGGGCTATTGGAATGTGTTTATGTTGGTTTAAAAAAAACCCCAAAAAACAAAACACAACCCACAAATCCAACAGGTATTTTCAAGTAGGCCTGAAATCACTTGTTAAGTACTAGTGAGTTGAAATGATGAGATAGTATGCAGTGATTTTTCAATATGTGGTGGTTTTCAAGCAGTTCTGGTTACTGACTCGACCTCTTTTGTACTAGGTTGTAAATCCATATTATTTGCGTGTTCGAAGGAAGAACCCAGTAACAAGTGCGTATTCCAAAATGAGTCTGCAGTTGTATCAGGTGGACAGCAGAACATACTTACTGGACTTCCGTAGTATTGATGGTACGTAAAAAATTACATAAGTTAATTGAGTTGTACGAGAAATCATTCTAAATGCAAACATGACTTAATTTACTTATTTAGAAATGAAGTAAGTGTTGCCCTTTATTATTTTAAGCCAATCTAATCTGTATTAATGTGTTGATTCCTTCCTTAGGTGGTGTTCCAGTGATAGATGATTAGCTGCTGCATCCCTTAAGTAATAGCTTTATTGCTATATTGCTCATATTGCAATAGCAATATGAGCTTCTGAAGTGCTCCATTTTCTGTCTGCATGAGCACTAATACTGCTAGTGCAAAAGGGGACAGGGCTGTTGGGGCTGAGATGTGTATCACCCTAAACTGCCTGTGGAGCCCCACCCCAAATGTAAACATTAATTTAGGTCTGAAGTAAGCATGTGAATAACATTTCCTAGTGAAGTTAAAGCTTGACGTTTAGGCCTTTAAATTTGCCTTGGGCTGTATGTTGCTGTACTGATTGTGACTGAGAGGGAGTTAACTTTGTTCAGAGCAGCCTATATGGTGCTGTGTTTTGGATCTGTGAGTAAAACAGTGTTGATTACACATTGGTATTGATGAGCAGTACTGGCACAGTATCTAGCCTTTTCCCCCACTCTGTTGCACCCACTGTTGGGAGGGAACACAGCCTGCAGAGCTGAGCCAGATTGAGCAAAGGGATATTCTGTTCCATATTATGTTATGCTTAGAAAAGAAACTGTGGTGATGGAGCTTTGTGGAAGATAACCAGACTGGCTGGCCATGAGTCTGCTCTGGAGAGATGGCGAGTTGTTGCCTTTGCATCACTTCCCCCCTCCCCCCCCTTACTGAACGATGTTTATTTCTATCCATAAGTTTTCCCACTTTTGCCCTTCCAGTTTTCTTCCCCATTGTGCTGAGGTATTGGCTGCCAGGCAGAGTCAACCCATCAATGCTAGTAGTAGCTAAAAGTTGAGATAGTAGTTGCACGCTTGCAGGAAGGGAAGTCCTGAAAGCATTAGGTCTAACCTCTAGAAATAGGTATTTTATAGAGTGACAGTAGCACAGCATGCAAATCCTGGTTGGGTGTCTTCCTGGAAATGAATGGAGGAGCTAGTAGAGACTGGCCATAATGCTTGTTTATGAGCTTAGCAGACGAAGGTAAAATTACCTACAGCCAGTGGTGTAGGTGACATGGCTGGGAAAACATTGCATGGAAAAAGGATTTATTGGAGTGTGGCTGGATTACAGCGTAGTATAGCTAAGACTATGTCTCATGACAGTTTAATCTGATCTGATTTAGCAGTGCAGTTCTTGCCTTGTTCCTTCTAACAGTATAGGCACTTGCTTAGATCCAGTGGCTGTTGATCTAGGGGACCAATAATTTTCTTTTACTAACCTACCACAGTATAGGACAAATACCATCCCTATTGGAGAGGGCATGACAGCTTAGAGGCATGCAGCTAGGGAAGGGCAACCTGCTACAGTCCTGGTTTCAACTCTTGAGGAAATGCAACCCAAGGGCATGGATTTGTAATATTTTTTCCAACAGTGAAGCTATTTGACATTCTTTTCTCTCCACCATGGTTAACGGTTCTCTCTTCCTCTTACTGGTTTGTAATGTAAAGTAGCTTTGATCGGTAAACAGGAGAGACTGCCTTTTCACTAGTTTCTCCAGAATTAACTTTTCTCATGCTAGGCTAGAGTCGAGTTAATGTTCAGTATCTAAAATAAAAACAGAGATACTTCAGCAGAACACTGCTTCTAGGATGAAAGTGTTTCCTCTTCATACTGAAGGTGAACTTAAGCTCCTGCAGCCCAAATGTATGACATTCTATGGTGGAGAAACTTCCAAAAGTGAAGCATAAATTAATGCAGATGCTAGGAGTTATAATGTACTCATGAATTATAATAAAAATACAAGTAAAAACAATGTATAAATACCCAAATAGAAAAAAGTAGATGCTAGCAAAACACATCTACAAAATGTTTGAACTGTTATTTAACTTATGATGCTATCCTGTTTTTCTTTTAAGTGAGCTAACTTGAACTATTAGCTGCTGAAGTCAGTTCATGAAAAATATGGTCAGTGCTGGTCTAAACTAGATGTAAATGGTTCTTGAGCACAATTCAGAGCACAGAAGTAACACTTTTGTGTTACTATATGTATAAGCTTTTATTTTGTTGCAAATACACACTTCGTAAAAGCTGTTTATGCATTAAGATTTTAAAAGACAAGACATAGAAATGTGAGAAGAAGATATTTGCTGTTCCTATAACTGGTTTGTTACTGATACACAATTTTCCTCCTCTTGCCTTGCCCCCAGAGGAAATTACTGAAGCAAAGTCTGGGACTGCGACTCCACAGAGATCAGGTTCTGTGAGCAACTATAAGTCTTGTCAAAAGGATTCAGATGCTGATGCACAAGGAAAATCTGCAGATACATCCCTTACCTCATCAGTGAACTCCTCTCTTGACTCTTCCACAGCTGATGTAACTCCAAGACCAGGCAGTCATACAATAGAATTTTTTGAGATGTGCGCAAATCTTATTAAAATACTTGCACAATAATTTTGAAGATGGGCTTATTTCTTTTCTAGCAATAAGCATGCCTAAATCGTAGTCAGATGCTTCCAATTATAATCATGTTAAATTAACTAAGTCGCTGAAGAAGCCACAGAATGCAATTTGCACAGGGATTAAAATGATTGTGGGCAGTTAACATATATTATTTTGAAGCTGGAGTGAATTCTGATTGCCTGCTGTCCAATAGCGTAACACAGGTACAGGAAATAACGTGCCCTTGGGGTAGTTTTGATAACATTTTACCTTGAGTGCACATTAGACTGCATATAACATTTAAGTTAGGTGGACCTCCTTGGATTTTTTCACTGGTGATACATATATCTGATGCACTGTAAGTAAATGTACACTTACTAGTTCAGTGACCTAAGTATGACTTGTTGGTCACCCTCTACAGTTGTGACTCAGTTGGTCAGAACTATCAACATTTTCTAACAGTAATGTGTTAAAACTGCTATGTTTCTTCTCCCTATTTGACAATAAATAATAGTTTGACGTGTTACAATGTACTGCTCTTAACAATAATTTTTATTAAATGCATGCAAATCCTGCCAGTTGGAACTGCGTATAGATGCTCTGTAATATACTGAGGGTGAAATTCTATGGGCAGTGAGCAGAACAATTGAGTCCACAACAATGGCAAGAGACTTAATGCTGAAAAGACTTGGCACCTCATGGGCTAAACCAAAATGTTGCTCTCTGGAGGAGAACTGTGAGGATGCTCCTGGTCTGTGCATGTACCTTAGTGTGGTAGCAGCATAGCAGCTTCCCACTGGTACTGCAGGCTGAGAATCCTTTTTAGAAATGTGGTCCTGTAGTTAAAAGCACAGTCTAGGTCTGTTTCGTCCTATTCCAGAATCTGAAATTGACTATTTTCAGCATATATGTTAATACTTTGATACAGCTGGTTATCACATGTTAACTTAGGATAGACTATATAGTATTTACTTTGCAGCTAAAACTACATATATAGGTTTTTAGTTTTTCCTGATCACCTTAGAGCAAACTTTATTTGATATAACTATGAATTAAACAGTCTAACTTCAGTTCAACATTGAAAACTGATCGTGACAACTTGAGTGCTAATATTCAAAAAGTTTTCAGTAGCAGATTGCAATTACCAATAATACAAATCCTTCTGCATTTATGGTTTTTGCAGTGTTTCAGGAAGAAAATTGAACCTTATGTTAAAATCATATCTAGTACTTGCATGAAAGCATTTAGTATTTTAAATTGGATATAGTTAGCCACAGTTCCATTTTCATCTAGCATTTAGTAGACATAAACAGTTAAAATACCTAGTTTTGCATTCAGGAATTAATGTTCCCTTCAAAATAATTATGACCTACTTAGTTTTAAAAGTTGCTCTCGTAAGGAGAGGCTAGAAATCCAGACATTACTATGAACAATGAAACCTGTACTCCTGAATTGAATGGAAATTCTTGCCAATGACTTAAGATTTCATCCATGGGAAGCTGCCAGCTACAGATACAGGAACAGTTTAGTCCTGGCCAACTGGCTTCAGTCCAGCAATTCATGTTTTGAACATGCACAGAATCTGAAGAAACATAAAGCTGCTTTAAGCCCCAGAAAGGCTGTAACTGTGTTCTGAACTGGGCAATTGTGAGGTCTGTCTAGTAGGTAGGTACTAGCTACAACTTCATTTCTTTATCCTCAAGTGATGCATTTGGTCCCTGTAGGGACCATGTGGATGTATTACTTTACATCAAAGGGGGATATCAAGTTTTGGGTTTAAACTCCCAAGACTTAAGATGTCAACATGAGGGACCAGCTGTAAATCCTACGTTTAAGTCCTGGTTTTTTCTTAAGAATTGATTGTGATGTACTGAATAAATCAATGTGTTCATTTTTGTTACCCTTTTATTTTGAAATTACTAAATATTGCACTTGTACAAATACTACAAACGCACAGGTTTTAAAATTGTAGTAATTCCTCATCTGGAATTGGTTTGGGATCACTTGCATATGTTAGTATTTATAAATGCTATCTGCTCCTTGTAATGCTAACAACTAATGCAAAGTGTCAAGGTGCAAATAGCTTTCAATTTTTATATACTTTTTGACCCTCTTGTGCATTAAGACAACCATGGTTTTTCCTTAGTCTTGGTATCTGGAGGTTAAAGGAAGTTTCTGGCAGAAGTGTACAATATGTGTAGTTTTAAATAAGGTAATTTTTATTGGTATGGTTTTGATGGCCAAAGGTTTTCTGATTGAACTGAGATTTTTATAGGGAGTGGGAGGGGTAGAAAGGGGCACTAACAACCTAATTGAACCTAGTTGCCTGTTCTGTGACTTTCCTAAGCTTTATAGATCTTGCTTTTGAAACTGCTTTCTTCACATGTTCCTATTGATCTTGCAGACCTCTTTTTAGCATTGCACTAAAAGCTGCTAATAGGCTGTGAAATGAAACTTCACTAGGAGCTGCCTGGGTTGTAAGGAGGCAGCCTATGCAAATACACAACTTGGTAAAGTGTGTTACTCTGTATTCCCAAGCTTACTCCTGTTGGAGTACATTGAATTCTTGCCTTTGTATTCTAATTTTTTTTCAGTAACATGGATGTACCTGACTGTCCATGTGCAATATAACTCACTAGGTAATGGACAAAAACTCATCTTGGTGGTGCAATATTAAAAAAAAAACCCAACAACCTTTCATGTTTGTCATGACATGAGTGTTTAATACAAACTTTGAACTAAATTTTATTTTACCAATTGATTACCATTGTAAGACATGAAGTCCTGTTCTTTAACAAAGATGTGCCTACTTCCTCTGTTAATTTCTTTTGACAAAGCTGAATGGCAAAAATGCTTGTTTATAACTGTGTAACTTTTTAAACTTTCAAAACTTAAAACTAAGTAAACTAAACTGAACCATCTTGTTTGAAACTGTGTGCATGCTGTCTTCTAGTGTTACATATGTTATAAGTGGTTGAGAACTGTTACACTGGTCACAGCACCAAGCCTGGCAGAGTTCAAGAAGTGTTTGGACAATGCTCTCAGGCACATGGTGTGATTCTTGGGGATATTCTGTGCAGAGCCAGGAGTTGGACTCAGTGATCCTTGTGGATCCCTTCCAACTCTGAAGATCTGTAACGCTGTAACTTGTTTTAAAAACAACTGCTATTACAATTTGAGAATAAAATGTTACTAAGAAGCTACCATGCCTGGTGAATCCACTGATTATTACCCACTTTTGATGTTCTAGGTGAGAGCCAGTGATGTAGCCAACAGCAGTCTGGAAAGCATTAAGGAAGATGACAGAGCCTTGAGTGAATTGATACGGGACTTGGGAGCTCAAGTAATTTTTTCATCAGTCCACCGAGCCAGAGGAGAAGGGCTTGAAGTGGCCAGCTGAATATGGCAGGCCAGGAAATGGTTGGAGCAAAGGTGCCACATTCAGGGTTTTGGTTACTCAGACCACTGGGTTCACTTTGGCAAGCCTGGTTTACTCAGGGCTCTCATAAAGAAGGGAGAAAGTATCCTTGATTTGGGAACTTGACAGACTAGTTAAGAGGGCTCCAAACTAGATTTGTTGGGGTAGGAGGGGGGAACCTATCCATTCTAGTCCTGCCAGTTGAATGCCAATACCTGTAATGGATGCCTGGAATAATGAAAAGGTATGCCAGATACTCCAGCCATAGAGTCAGCTTTACCCAGTGGCCAGCTCAGGTGCTTGTACACCGATGCATGTAGTATGGGGAACAAGCAAGAAGAACTAGGGACATTCTACTGGGCTCTTGGAGGCCCAAGAATCCTGACTGGTTTTCAAGGATTACCTCCTCCAAGGTCAGGAGCAATGTATCCCAACAAGAAGCAAATTGGGCAAAAATAACAGAAGGCCTTCATGGATGCAAACTCGGGGAAAAAAAATAAAAGCAGTCTTCAAGAGGTGGAAACGAGGTCAGGTGGCCTGGGAGGAATACAGGGAAATAGTACAGGAGGCTAGGGACAAAGGGAAGTTAAGGCCCAGATAGAATTTAATCTGGCAAGGGATATTAAGAATAATAGCAAGGGCTTCTACAGAATGAAAGAAAAAATGAGTGCAGAAACTATTCAGCATCTTTGTCAGTGACATGGACAGTGGGTCGAGTGCTCCCTCAGCACGCTTGTGGACACCACTACGCTGTGTGGTGCAGTCAACATGCTGGAGGGAAGGGCCATCCAGAGGGACTGTGCCAGGATTGAGACACGGGCTGATGCCAAAATCATGAAGTTCAACAAAGCAAAGTTCAAGGTCCTACACCTGAGTCACAGCAATCCCAGACATACCTATAGGCTGGGCAGAGAAGAGAGGTGGCCTGGCCTGGGAGGAGGGAAATAGTACAGGAGGCTAGGGACAAAGGGAAGTTAAGGCCCAGATAGAATTTAATCTGGCAAGGGATATTAAGAATAATAGCAAGGGCTTCTACAGAATGAAAGAAAAAATGAGTGCAGAAACTATTCAGCATCTTTGTCAGTGACATGGACAGTGGGTCGAGTGCTCCCTCAGCACGCTTGTGGACACCACTACGCTGTGTGGAGTACAGGAGGCTAGGGACAAAGGGAAGTTAAGGCCCAGATAGAATTTAATCTGGCAAGGGATATTAAGAATAATAGCAAGGGCTTCTACAGAATGAAAGAAAAAATGAGTGCAGAAACTATTCAGCATCTTTGTCAGTGACATGGACAGTGGGTCGAGTGCTCCCTCAGCACGCTTGTGGACACCACTACGCTGTGTGGTGCAGTCAACATGCTGGAGGGAAGGGCCATCCAGAGGGACTGTGCCAGGATTGAGACACGGGCTGATGCCAAAATCATGAAGTTCAACAAAGCAAAGTTCAAGGTCCTACACCTGAGTCACAGCAATCCCAGACATACCTATAGGCTGGGCAGAGAAGTGATTAAGAGCAGCCTCACAGAGAATGACATCAGGGTGGCTGTTAGTAAAAAACTCAACATGAGTTGCAGTGTGTGCTCATGGCCCAGTGAACCAACCATGTCCTGGGCTGCATCAAAAGGAGAGCAGCCAACAGGTTGAGAGAGGTGATTCTCCCCCTCAGCTCTTGTGAGACCCCACCTGGACTACTCTGTACAGTTCTGGTGTCCCCAACGTAAGAAAGTCATGGAACTGTTGGAGGTAGTCCAGAGGAGGGCCACAAAACTGACAAGAGGACTGGAGCACTTTCCCTTCAAAGACAGGCCAAGAAATTTGGGGCTGTTCAGTCTGGAGAAGGGGTTACATGGGGTTACTCATAGCAACCTTCCAGTATTTGAAGGGCCTACAAGAAAGCTGGAGAGAGACTCTGTTAGAAACTGTAGTGATAGGACAGGAGTAATGGGTGTAAACTGAATGAGAGGAAATTTAGATTAGATAGTAGGAAGAAGTTTTTTTACTGTGAGGGTGGTGAGACACTGGAACGGATTTCCCAGGGAGGTTGCGAATGCCCCAATCCTGGCAGTGTTCAGAGCCAGGCTGGATGAGGCCTTGAGCAACCTGCTCTGGTGGGAGATGTGCCATTGCAGGTAGGGTTGATACTATATGACGTAT